CAGAGGATCCCAGTTGCTTTGTAACATATGTCAAATTTATAGCTAAAGAAGGAATTGCAGCACTTAAATTTATGGTAATTGGTCATGCCATTTCTTTAGCTGCTAAATGGAAATCTGTTCTTTCAAGGTGAAAATTACTATAACAATTTTCTTTATACTTAAACCTTTTTTTAAATCTTTTCTTTAATTCATTTTATTTTTATTTTATATTAGACCGAAGGAAGCGAATTATGTAATACCGGAGATATTTAAAGGTGCCACATTCATTACTATGTCAATTGCTACAGCTTGGGCATTAATTTGTGGATTTCAAAATTTATTTCCAAATAAATTTATGCCTATATCAAGGTATTTATTAAATTTTTAAGGATAATTTCCTTTTAATATATTTATATAATTTTTTTTTATCAAACATTTTCTCAAATAATATTAGAATCTACTTAAATGGATTTATTGCTGGATTATGGATTTTGTTACTACACCCAGTTCGACGTATGGAGATCGGAATGTATAGTTTTCGATTATTACTTGAAACATACTGGAAATTATTGGTTAAAAAGGGAAAAGTCAAGAGCATTAAGTAAATTTAATTTCTTGAAAATTTAAATGTAAATGTTATGTTTTTGGTGGCAATTTTTCATTTTATTTTTTTTTTATTAAAAAAAAAAAGAAACGGCGAGGTTATTTATTTTTCGTTCGCCATGGCTTGCGTAATGACTATTTATAGAACCCAACCAAAGAGTATATCTACACCTTACGTAAGGGACGCCATTGAGAAATTACTGGGTGATTCATAATAAAATGATTGTCTTTTTTAAAACGAGGTTAGTTAAATTTATTAATTATTCATTTTTTTTTTCTTTTGCATTTTGCATTGTATAATATTTCTAGAATTATTTAATAATTTATCATTATATTAAATTAAAGAATTATGAAATTGTTATATAATCTACAGACCAAGAAATTTTAATTTATTAAAGAATATGAAATTATCCAATACTAAATAATTCGAATATCACAAAAAAAGGGGGGAGGAAATCTACGTAATTGAACATATTTACAGCAAGATGTATATTTTTTATAATTATCTTTCAAATCCATATAACAACAAAAATATGTCGAGCGTGAAGAAATAAAGAAAATCCTATGGTAATATAATGTCAATTATTTTGTAAAATGAAAATAACATCCAGTAAGACCTAAATAATTGTTGCTCTTTGGTAATGAATTCCAAATGAATAATAATTCAAGAAAAGGATATTTAAAAATTTTGTACACTAGAAATATAAAATTAAGTGTCCATTTAAAAAAAAAACAAAAGGAAACCAAGAAGTCAATAACAATCTAGGAATTTATGTTTTTTCTGCAAACTAAGTTTCCCTAGTTAAACTAAGCAATCTTGTCGCACATTAACAAAGGCACTGGAACCAACACTATTTCTAGATAGTTCACGGAGAACCACTGAAGCCTGGCGATAAGCTTTCTCTAGTGGTGGTATCGCAGGTTTACCTTGTGAAACTATACCAAGATATAATAAGTAATCAAATTTAACAATCAAATAATCAAACTATAATCAAAAATTATTATTGATCTACACACCCAAAATAGCGCTATTTAAAGAGTTTGCAACAGGTTCACGTCCAGATGGATCTAATAAATGTGATACACAACTCCTACGTGGGTCAGTGTATGCCAATAATGAAAACGCGTCCTGAATAATTTAAATTGTTCAAAAAAAAAAGTTATTATCTTTGCCTAAAATATTACATTTTATGTCTAATATTAAGAAGAAAAAAATAACTAAATAACCTTTAATGTGTTCTTTATTTCATCACGGTAATCGTCACGATAATCATCTTGCAATTTATAACCAAATTTCAAAGCTTCTGCCATAATTCCATCTAATCCATGTAATCCAGACCAAACATTTTTTTGTCGCTTAGATGTTTTCTTTTTAACAGATGATACACCAAATAGATCATCAATAGAATCATCACTCGTTGAGGCTGCAAATTCATCTACATCCATGGCATCCTCGAATTCTTCTTCTTCCTCTTCATCATCATTCTCATCCCCTGATTCTTCATTACTCTCGTTAGCAACTTCGTCATCATCGTCATCGTTGTCGTCGTCACCGATATCGTCATCTATCATAGCTTTAATCTTATCATTCCTTATTACATCATCGTCATGATCTGTTAATGTTATTTCAGTTCCAGCACAAGCCCCCAACATTTCTATAAATTTACGACACCGAAGTTGGAAATGAATGTCACGGTTAGAAGTCAATACAGAAGGATAAAAAGTATTTGTCAATTTGATAGCATGATCGATATCTCCGGCAAGTACCGCGTCACGAATTCCTAAAAAAATAATTTGATAATAAATTGGTGAATAAATTATTGAAATTTTAAACCAATTAAACTCTAGATTAATATTGTGCACACTTTGTCGATTTATCATATCTTTATCTTTATCCAGTAATGGATTTTCACTTTCGACCCCTTCCATTTCACTGTTATCAATTTGAGGTAATTGTACAGTATTCCTTGAAAAAGTCTTAGCAGTATCACTATATCCATGATGAACCAAATAAGATAAGATAAGATGATGAACAGCTGAAGTGAGATTTGCTTCCGACGCAGCTTGCGAAATTGGTGCAGTAGTTAAAGGAGATGATATTAAATCCATAGGTATAGAATTGATTTCGTTCCACAAACGCGTCTTTTCTTCCTGAATAAATAAATTTCTTTAATTTTTCATCTATGAAATCTTCATTAAAAAATTTACATTTCTTACTTTCATATAATGTTCAATCGCAAATT